CTCTGTCAAATAAATAAATAAAATCTTTAAAAAAAAAAAAAGAAAGGGTTGCTCAGGGTGAATTATTACTGTATCCTTCTGTGAGGCACCACCTTGTATGTCCAGCTTGCGGTCAGAAGAGGGACACGGAATCAGGAAAGGGAAATGGGATATCTTTTCAGCCCTCTCCCCACCATTTCTAATGCTAATTTAAATTACAACAGCACCTGCTGCCCAATTTAAATGGTTCTGTTTCTGTTTCGTCTTGAAATGTGTTTTTGTACTGATAAAACTTAGCATTAAGGACAATTGATTTAGTAACTTGCTCTTTTAAGAAGACCCTTTGTTGATAAGCACACCACTAGTTTGAGTGGTGGTAACAGTGTGTTTAAAATGTACTTATACAAATGAAAAGATTTGCACAAAGCCTGTTCATGATAGAAGGCTGGCACATGAATTTGCCTTGAATATATGAATAAATGAGGAATTAATGAACAATTGGAAGCACAGAGAAGGAGAGATATGGAAGAATCATGTAAGGAATTAATACTTAAATGTTTTTAATTGTTCCCAGAAGATAAATTTATTGGAATAAGCTCACCCCAGGATATATATTATAAATATTGTTTTACATTCCTTTTACAAAGGTTGAGACACAAGTCTTCCATATATTTTTAGAAGTACCTGATTTAGAAATGTTTAAAGAGAGTCTAGTGTTTTATTTTCATGGAGTCTATAGGGGTTTTGATTATACAAAAAGAAGCGCATAATGAGGACTTACTCAGACCAACTCTCTTACAACAGTGAGATGCTGAGAATTGTTAAAAAAAAAAAAAAAGAAAAGAAAATATTACAAAACGCCAAGAACATATTTTAAAAATTGCACTGAGTCCATACTGAGCAGCATCTCTTTCTCACAGGCCTGAGATTCTGTTTGGAGGTTGAAAAAGTAAACGATTTCATCTATTGTCATTAAGACATCTTCACTTGTAAATGTTAAATTCTCTAATTATTCTATATTTACCAGAATATTCCCCTGTGGGTTTTACATTTTTTGAAGTCTAGAACTTTGTCCTTTTTTTTTTCCTTCCTATTTTACCTATTAAGGAATCTATATTTACAACAATTAAAAGTTTTGTGATTACTCTGTGTTTATCAAAATACCCCCTTGTGGACTTTTAAGTTCTTCCGAAGGCCAGAATTTGTCCCTCTCCTCTTTGTTTTAATTCCTAGCACTGTGGCCTGGACAGAGTAGGCATTCAATAAATCCCAGGAGATTGAACCACTTGTTGCCATCAACAAGTGGAGCGGGCACGGTGTCTGCCCTCATGGCATTTACCCGTGGAAGGGTGTGAGGCAAGCAGTTCAAGAAGAGCCACACAAAATCCCAAAAGGTGAAACACTGTGAAGAGAAGAGGCTCCGTTGACAAAGAGACGAATTGCTTTGGACAGAATGAGCAGGGTCAGCACCACCGAGAAGCAGCCATTATGCAAAGACTTGAAAAATATAGAGCTGCCTTCTGTAGGGAACCAAGTCAAGGCAGAGGGGAGGGCATGCATGTGTTTAAGGAACTAAAGAAACCACTTTGGTCCCCGAATCACTCACAATCCCAAATATATCCCAGTATTATTCATATTCACATTAGCCAAGATCATGAAAACAACCTAAGTGTCCATCAGCAGATGAATGGATAAAGTAAAGATGTGTGTATTTGTGTATATATACACATACACAGGGAAATAGTATTCAGCCTTAAAAAAGGAGATACTTCCATTTGTAACAGTTATTGATGAACCTGCAAGACATTATGCTTAGTGAAACAGATCTATAAAGAAAAAAAAAATGTATCATCTCATTTACCTGTGGAATCTAACAAAGTCAAATACGTAATACCAATGAGTAGAACAGTGACCACCAGGCACCAGGGAGTGGGGGAAACGGGGAGATGTTGGTCAAAGGGTACAAAGTTGTAGTTACATAAGATGAATGAGTGGAGAGATTTAATAATGTACAGTATGGTGGTTACAGTGAATAATGTTGTATTGAAAACTGGAAGTTTGCTAAGAGTACAGATTATCACCATACTCAAAAAATAGTAACTATCTGAAGAGATATGTTAATTAATTTGACTGCAGTAATCATTTCACTATGTTTATGTGTATAAAACATCATGGTGTACACCTTATGTATATCCAGTTTTTATTTAAAAATGTATTTACGTGGGGCACCTGGGTGGCTCAGTGGGTTAAGCGTCTGCCTTTGGCTCAGGTCAAGATCCTGGGGTCCTGGGATCGAGCCCCAAGTCCAGCTCTCTGCTCAGTAGAGAGTCTGCTTCTCCCTCTGCCCCACTCTCCCACTTGTGCACTCTCTCTCCCTCTCTCAAATAAAGAAATAAAATCTTTAAAAAAGGTATTTACTCAACATTATTTTTCACTTGCATCTCTGCCCATCCCTGATTGAGAAATGATGGCAAATTTCATTATAAATGTGAGTTTCTGTTTTAATACCAGGTAGAATATTTACAGAATGCCACAGTGTCTGACATACTACAGGTTCTTTGCCCAAGACTGGGCGTACATTTTCTCTTTTTACGGAGCATTAATAGCATGGAGTAAAGATTATCCTTTGACAACAGGCTCTGGCTGATTGTTGAAGCTAACCACTGACAAAAGCCTCCCTGATACCCTTTGCCTTGGCTGGACAAAATCACAGAATGGCCATTTTTACACACCTAATGAAAGCACAGTTATGTAATGAGACCCCTGTGTGTGACTCATTACAAGTTGTCCAACCATGACCCTCAGACATTAATGGGTTATCATTGCTTCCCTGCAGGGTGCTACACAAGGCAGGACCGAATACATGTGTCAGGAAGGTGATGGGAATGCACCTGCCGGTCTCAGTGATGATCCTTCAATTCTTTTATTCTCTTCTTGTTGGACCATGGTCACTTATAAATAGACCCATGAGAAAGAAAAAAAAAAAAAAGAAATAAAACCAGGCTCAGGTCCTAAGCGTCACATGCAATACTGATCCTGGTTTGCCACAGCTGTCAGCCTCAGCACCTGTTTCAAAGCAGACTGCTGAAATAATGTACTCACACAAACACTGCGACTTGAAAGAGTAGACTTTTATAACAAATTATAATAACTGTATCACTAATTTTAGTAGGAATTTCAAATAGCAAATTTAATGCGTTCCATATTAGCATTGATGGAAAAACACCTAGTTAGAGCCTGCTCAGGACTGCACACCTTAAGTTGGGTATTAGTTGGAAGCCTGCCTTTCTTCTGGTGCCACATACTCTTTCCTTTCAGGTCTAACAAACAGCCATTTGGTTGTTTATTAGATCCCATCAAAATGTATTTCCAGTCTTATGGTTTCTGTTCTTCCTGTCCTGTATTCCTTCTCCGATTCCTGCCTCTCTCGATGTATCTATCTTTTCTATCTATTGGTCTATCTACCTATAATTTATATTTATCTATCCATTTACTATCTATATCACTTTCTTCTATTATTCCATCATTTATCATCTATCTCTTTCATCTCTCTATTGATTGACCAATCTATCTCTGTATCTCTTATCAATCTTTTATCTGTATCTGTCTTTTATCTATCAATCTATTGATCTGCCTATCTATAACTTCTATATATCTGTCATCTATTAATTACTTTCATATCTATCCATTTATCTATCATCTATCTATAATCTATCATCTACCTAACTCTCCATTCCTTTTCCTTTCTCTCTTTGCCACTCAGGTTTCTAGTTTAATTTCATGACATCTCTTACTCTCTTTCTCCTTGATTCCAATATTGGTCATGGAAGAAAGCATTTCTTCTTTCAGGAGAAAAGGACCCTGTGCTCTATAAAAAGAAATTCATAGAATCATAATATATAGCTGTATCAGACATAAACCGATCATATCTAGTTGGTATGGTGTCAATCACCACGACAGAGGTGTTCTTTAAGAAATAAAGCTTCAAGGCTTTGCAAAGTTAAATGTAGAGGGAAACCTTCTAGCCTCAGATCTTTTTAATATGTTAATATGGATAATTAAATAAAATCTGCATACATTACTCTAAAAATATTTATGTCAGAGTGTTTGGGTGTCCTCAAAATATATTAAAAGAAATATTAAAAGAATTAACATATGAGATATATTTTAAAAGAATTAAAAAAGAATTAATGAACAATTCTTTTGCTTATATTATTTTTGGGTCCTTCTAAGCACTGTAAAAACAAATATTTGATAGACATCTGACTTAAAGCGTAATATGGGTTAATTTCACTTTTAGTGCTGATAATCAGCATCCCTGGAGTGTTAGCAGTTTTGAATTCTTTAAAATTCTGTAACTGAGGGTCTTCAAACGTATACAAGTATCTGTAGATAATACATAATGATCCATAGTCACACTAGAACTGGATATTCACATCCTGAAAGTCACGGAAAGTTCCTGCGAGGCTAAATAAGGATCTTTGCTTTATTTAGGTCATCAAGCTGGCGTTCGAGGAGTTTGAACTGGAACGAGGCTATGACACGCTTACGGTGGGCGATGCTGGCAAAGTGGGCGATGCCCGGACGGTCTTGTACGTGTAAGTACGGGGTGCAGTCTCTCTTCCCCTCTCGGCCGTGTGGCCAGCTGTGCCAGCATGGATGGGTACTTGCCGAGCCAGTGGTGCCCAAGTCTGATCTCACATGAGAACTAATTCAGGATTACGTTTCATCTGTTTCGATTTTTCTCCCCTCAAATTATTAAAAACTATGGCAAACATTAGAATATACAGAAGAGTAAAAAGTAGACATGGTAGTTTCTCGACCAACCCCTCCTTCTTGGCATTCTCTTTCTGCTTCCCTGTGGCATTACCTTCTCAGTGTTCTTGGAAGTCCAAGTATTGTCTAGAGTAACACCGTCGGTCTTACAAAAGCCCTTGCAGTCTGTGAGAGCACGTGCTGCAAGTACAGAGCTTGGGGGTAACAGCAGTGGGGTAAGTGACTGTGTATCTGTGGCACTCGGTATGCAGGGTCCAGAAAAATACAATCACAGCCTTGATATGAAAATTAGCCCATGAATGCCTGCCCTGCCACTTGCAAGCGGAGTCAGTCTGCCCTACAGTGCTGTACCCCGACGTCTTTACCTGCTCTCCGATGTTGGACCTTGAGGACACGTCTGTCACTTTCAGGAGACCCATGCTATCCAAATTGAAAACAGCATCTGGGAGAATCAGCACGGAGGGAAACGTCTTTGGGGCTCTTCCTCCAGCGTTAGCTGCTTAATCGATGGCTTCACGTAGCAGCTCCTACTACTACCAAGCTGGAAGCCTCTTTCTTTAATGGAGGTTATTCTGCCATTTTCCACCTTTTTCTTTCTTTCTTCTTCTTTTTCTTTTTTTTTTTTTTTTTTTTGGTTTACTTGTACGATGCTCAGGCTTGCTTTTTGTTTGTGGGGGATCTTGCCCCTGATACTGTGTAGGATTGCAGGGTTCTTATCTCACAGAGTCGAGGAATGAATCTCACAGACACAAAAGGGTGAAGTGAAGTGCAAGTCTATTGAGTGAAGGTGATTACAGAAAGGAAAGAAAAAGCTCTCGAGAGCGAGAGGGGTCCCAAATGGGTGGCCACCGCAGGCTTTTATGGTCAGTCTTTTATAGAAAACTGACCAGAGAGCTTCCTAGGTATCTCATCTATAACATTTAAGACAAGCAAGGTGGATTTGTAACTATCATGTAAATATCTTGTCTATACTTAGGACAGACAAGGTGGATTGTTATGTTCCCTTCTCTTTGGTTAATATCTTGTCTGTAACATTTCTCCACACCTGGGATTTCTGTGAGCCTGGCCACCTAGCCCCCTGTGTGAGCCCACCCAGGGGAGTCAGAGGTCTCCTAACTCTCCCTGCCTTTACCTTAACCCTTTTCTTATTCAATACCTTCAGCTTATTATTCTGCTAGAGAAAAACAGTACTGGCTGTTATACTCACTCATTCTATATTTACCAGTTCCTTATGAGGTAATTCACATTTTTATTTTTATTTTTTTATTTATTTATTTTTTTGGTAATTCACATTTTTAAAAAGTGCTGTAGATGAACATGCTGTCCCTGCCTTTAACAATGAATGGGCCCATATTCTGAATACATTGGTAATGTACCCTTGTCATTTATTATATATTGGACATCTTTCCCTACCAGTACATGACTCTATCTCATCTTCTTAAGGGTCAGTTACACTAATAATAATAATTAAAATCATGGTACTGGCCGGAGATTTATAATAATAATTATAATAATAGCATTAGTAATATCATAGCTAATATTCATTGAATATCTCATATATCATGTGCTGGGCTAAATGCCTAATACATACTATTTTATTTAGTCCTTACCTTAATCCTGTAAATTAGGGATTAATAGTATCCTCATATTATAAATGACAAGACTAAGACGTAGGTAGATTAAAGGATTTACCCCCAGGGCGCCTGGGTGGCTCAGTCGTTAAGCGTCTGCCTTCAGCTCAGGTCATGATCCCAGGGTCCTGGGATTGAGTCCCGCGTCCGGCTCCCTGCTCCGCGGGGAGCCTGCTTCTCCCTCTCCCTCTGCCTACTTGTGCTCTCCCTCTGTCAAATAAATAAATAAAATCTTTAAAAAAAATTTAAAAAAATAAAGGATTTACCCCAACTTAAAAACCTATGATAAGTTGATATGTATGTACTGGTATACACTGGACATATGTAGATACTTAAATCCAGTTATTGTTCTCCAGTGTCTGCTTCTTATTGTTGCATATGGATACGGCATGTTTCTTAAGGGATTCTCATTGATGGTCTTTTGCCTTCCCCCGCCTACCTCATCCTTTGCATTTATAAGCAGCCATGCAGTAAACAACTCTGTACAAATACCTCGCCACACTTGTTTCGTATGCCTCCAGGAAAATTTGCAGCAGGTGAATTTTAGGGGTAAACGGTAACTTCATTTACATTGTTATCTTTCCCCAAAACTTCCCCTAAAAATTTCTTGGTAGAAACTTTTCTGTTCCTCTGCCACATTATATGAAGGTCCCCATTCCCCCACCCTCACCAAATAGTTACTCTTTTTTTGCCAAATCATTAGATGGGAATTGCCTCTATTTATAAGGATATTTTTCCTGCAGGGTGGAGCCCTGACATCTGTGTTGTTTGTAAGCTGCGCTGCTGATTGCACTCTCACGGCCTGGTGTTGGTGTGCGGGAGTATTTGTCAGCACTGACAGAGTGCATAGGAATGGGGCCAGAAGGCCAAAGATGGAGTTTCTGGTTCTAGCTTTGCTCTTAACCACCTCTCCTACCCTGAGGGAAGTCACTTTACCTCTCTGTACCTCTGTTTTCATGCCTATAAAATACGTATAATAAACTTTTCCTGCCTGTGGCAAGGAGCAAAATGAACTACTGCATGTTAAAGTGTTGAAGAGTTAAGAAATGTAACCCACAAGTGAAATAGCTTTATTATTACCATAACAGCTAATTTAAGAAAGGTGTCGGGGCGCCTGGGTGGCTCAAGTCGTTAAGTGTCTGCCCTCGGCTCAGGTCATGATCCCAGGATCCTGGGATCGAGCCCCGCATCGGGCTCCCTGCTCCGCGGAAAGCCTGCTTCTCCCTCTCCCACTCCCCCTGCTTGTGTTCCCTCTCTCGCTGTGTCTCTCTCTGTCAAATAAATAAAATCTTAAAAAGAAAAAAAAAGAAAGGTGTCACTAAAGCAAATGAGAGAAAATTTTATTTTATTTTTTTTTTTTTTTGAGAGAAAATTTTAAATAACTGCAAAATATAAAATATAAACGGAGCAAAGTAATGCCATATAAAATCCTTAGGTCACTATTAAAGATCTAAAGTCAGACACCCATTTTTTAAATGCTTTTTGTTGTTAAGAGAACAAGAGCAAACTATGTATTACATTGACGTAAGTGTCATTAGAACTTCCTCTCCATAGCTCAAATCTATAAATGAAAAACTAAATAGCCAACTGTATCAAACTGAGATGCCCTTTGGGAGACATAATGTTACAAAGATCAGTTGGGCATTGAATCAGCTGCAGAGAGAAAAGAGAAGCCACTGATACATTTTCTTAGTATACAAAATTACAGAAAAAGAAAGAAACCGGTCAGAGAATCACAGCTGGGTCTTCAAATAAACAGGTACTTTTATAGAATACATCAACAAATATTTTTGAGAACTTATATGCTAAACTTTATTCTCAGCACAGAGTTGAAAATCTAATTGGAGAGATGGCAGATACATGGGGCTAGTTATATACCAGAGTATAAAATCACTGGATCTCATGATGTAGATTTCAAATAAAACATGAGCTAAAAAACTTCTTTATGGAAGACTAGTATTTACTACCTCAGGCTCATTATGTTAGCATAGGTTCCTCCTTTTGGGGCTGGGGGGGATGGAATTCTAGGCTTGGATTTTCAGGAAAAATCTAGAGAGTGAGCTACCTAGCCAGCTCATCCTAAATGTGGTTTTCAATTTTCGAATTTTTGTTAGTGGTGTTTTAGTTTCTTAACATTCTCGGCACAAAAAGAGAACAACTGAATTTAGGAGACCCTTTTATTAGTCTAATCTTCCCAAGAGATGAATGAATTTACTCAGGTTATTTTTACAGAGGGACAAGCTTAAAATTAAATAAGTTACTTAACAAATCTCTGTTGAGATCCATCCAAGAATATATATTGATGATTGTCTTGAATTTAGTTTGCAGAAGAATTGCATCTGGAATTCCCTCTGGCCTTTTGTTATTAGCAATTGGTGGCTGGGAGATTGCTTTAATTTCAGGTTATAGGTTTTAAATGTCTGTGCCTCTAAGGGGATGAATAGCCAACCTCAGGGAAGTCTGAGAGTATTACTGCCTCTGTCCTGCTAGATTTGTGGATTAACTGCAAAGGAGCAAAGGATACTAGTTGTTACTAATGGTCAGTTATCTATTATTTCTGAAACTGCTTCTTGTTTCCAGAAGCTTCCCAAGCCCTTGTAAACTGTGGCCACATCCCCCTGCTGTTGTCGGCAAATCCTGAGCCGAAGGGCATCATTCTCTTTTTATTAAAAGACTGTGGAACAGCCACATAACAGCAAACACTAAAAACTGATGTTTCCCTGTTTATATATCTTTGATATCATCAGACGAGCCAATCAATATATCTCTTAGTGCTTTGGAGAAAAGCTTGAGCAGTTTATGTTAGGAAACAGAACATAAAGATAGCTACTTAAAGGCTTTCTCGATAAAAACCCATGTTTTCGCGATTAGAAATCGAGTACACTCCTTAGGTTCTTGGAAGTCTGGAGTCACATGATCACAAGCGTCTTTCTTCATATTCTCCTTCTCCTAATGGCATTGCCTGTGCGCGTGGATACATCTGATAGCGCAGATCGGACTCGTGCTACACCGCCGTTCTTCACTCAGACTTTATCCACGGTAGCTTTCCTGTCTCTGCCTCTTTATCTGGGAGGCTTCTTCCTCGATTCTTTGAAGAAATACTTATTGCAATTCAGACATTATAGCAGGGTTTGGGGGGGAGGGGGGCGTCAGGGGAATGACCAGCCGGCGGAGAAGACAGAGGCTGCCCA